CATGTTAACCAGAGACCCTAAAGTTAACTTTTTATCGTGATCCCTCATGCTAACCACAGACCCTAAAGATAACCACTAAACCCTAACCTCATGTTAACCAGAGACCCTAAAGTTAACCTTTTATCGTGATCCCTCATGCTAACCACAGACCCTAAAGATAACCACTAACCCCTAACCTCATGTTAACCACATCCCTCATGTTAACCACAGACCCTAAAGTTAACCTTTTATCGTGATCCCTCATGCTAACCACAGACCCTAAAGATAACCACTAACCCCTAACCTCATGTTAACCACAGACCCTAAAGTTAACCTTTTATTGTGATCCCTCATGTTAAGCACAGACCCTAAAGATAACCACTAACCCCTAACCTCATGTTAACCACATCCCTCATGCTAACCACAGACCCTAAAGTTAACCTTCTATCGTGATCCCTCATGTTAACCACAGACCCTAAAGATAACTTTTTATCGTGATCCCTCATGCTAACCACAGACCATAAAGATAACCACTAACCCCTAACATCATGTTAACTACAGACCCTAAAGTTAATCTTTAATCCTGATTCCTCATGTTAACCTCATACGTCACACCAACCCGGAAAAGCCGCGGTCGGCAAATACGGAAGCATGGGATATCCCCCGCTCGTCAACATATTGATGCTTGGGTGCTCCAGGCCCAAGCATCAATATGTTATGAGTCTGACATGAGAATGTGTTATGAAATGAGACCCAGCCTAATGTGAACAAAAACAATATGAGACATGAACTCCATGAGTCTTTTGTTAATTATGTCAGATTAGCTGCAGGTTGAACTCATCTTTAAACATTTTCTTCCATTTCAACCACAGATGTTTAACTCTGAGATCTGGGTTATTTGCAGGTCATGTCACCCTCAATATGTTTATATAAACAGGTGTTTTTAGTTACTAATGACTCCCATCTCCTGGTATCTGTACCTGACATACAGCCCAGATCACCAGTCTTCTTCATAAACTTCTGTTTGAGTATTAATGATGTTGTTTGCCTTTCTGCATGTAAATCCCTTTTCTTTAGTCATTTCTCACAGTTTAGACACCACCCACTTGTTTCTCATATGTTTAGTTCAGTTTCTACTTTTTGCTTGATGTTTTCTAACTTCACTCTTTGATCTCTTCTTTAATCGACCAGCATGTGTTGTTTTGTTTTTTATCTATTTTCTTTGTTCTCGGTCCAGAGCTCAGGTCCAGCTGATTGAAGATAAGCAGCACCTTTACAGCATTCTGTGATGGTTTAGCTTCTTGTAGAAGTTTGATGATCCTCTGCTTTGTTTCAGCTGACAGTGTGGCGTTGGAGCCATGATTCATGTCAGTCCGTTTTATCCAGCGGCTCTCCAGGGTGTCAGCTTCTTTTTCATCTGGAGGCTAATCATCAGATTTAATCTGATGCAGGTGTTTAGAACCAAGTGATTCAGTAATAGTTTCTCTACTAAAGAAACTACAGTGACTGACTACAGCAATTATAGTCCTTTTCTTTCAGTTGCTTTTTTAAACAAGAATGTTGGAATTTAGAAAAAAAGTTGTTTTATTGCATGTCTGATTTATTTTTAATACAAAATCAAAACAGAAACATCCTCCAATGGTGGTGGATTTTTCATTTTTGCCAGTGGTTGTTGAAACTGTAGATCATTAAAACTATGGTAGACTACAAGTGA